CAGTAACTATTTTGTAAATATTATGCGTCTAGATCACTATGCCCTTGGTTTTAGGACAAATTTCCAAAATGTGTAAATATGGAGCATCTTCATTCTTTGTAGTTCTTCTCTGTATAACTGGCTGACGTCTGTTGATGACAAACATTATTATGGAGATGAAGTGTCATTATAGGCTCACGGTTGCTTTACATTTAGATGCTGTAGATGAGGCACCGTAGCCCTGTCTGACCCATTGTCCCTCTGACCTATTATGTCCTTAATAGCTTTATGTCTTTAAGATTTTTGCACAGTTATGACACATTCATTTGTTTACTGCTTGTGACTATAGACCTCGATAGAAGCTTGATGTCAAAGACAAGCCAACATATAGGTCACAGCACACTGTGTTCCACCAGCAACCTCTTCCCAAAATGACTCAGCGTCCATCTCTCACGATCAAGGAGATTTCTGAAGATGCACTCTAACCAGATGCGGTCTCTCAGGCTTTGACCCCATTGTTGTCTCCCTATGCATGCAGGCTGTGGATGATAAATGGATTAATGTAATTACTCCACAGCTCTGCCCACATTCTGTAAGCTGGGTGAAAATTGAGATTCCTAAAGGGCCTCTCACTAATCTGTTGATGGAACTTCCAGCTACTTCCATCGGCTTAGAGGTGTGGACGGAGCATCTTTGAATCCAAGTGGGCCTCAGGACAGTCTTGTGGAACTCGCTGAGCAACTAGATACATTTCTAATTGTGTCCTTTATACTAATCAAGAGATTTAGCTTAAAAATTGACTCTGTATTTCATCATATGTTTAAATGTCAACTTGCAATCTTTTAAAGTGGTGACAGTACTTAACTATCCTGAGTGCTCTTGTAGAAGAGGAACCACTGGAAATTTCCATATGAGATTCATGTTTCCAGACCCATTCGCTCTGAATAATAACTGCTGTTGTTTCAATGTTCTTATCTCACTTCCTATTCGTTGCCTTCAAACAAGGTTCACATGCAGACAGCAGATTTGAACTATTAGTGACATGGAAATTTCTCAATATAAATTGGTTTTGTTTTTTGTTTTTTCAAAATATGCTCTCTAAGAAGAAAAAATGGTTTCACTGATTATTGGAGAAGCCTTCTTTACCAGGTTTTAATTTATATCTTTACTTGTAGTGGTTGGTATACAGTTGAAATTCTTCCTGAGGTATTTTTTTTCTTTTTTTTCTTTTCTTTCTTCTTTCTTCTTCCTGAGTTTTGTCATAATCATTATACAGGTATGCCACAAATAAGTACAGATAACATGACGTACAACCACGCTAAAGCTAGCCATTTAACTGAGCGGCTGAATCACTGATGTTTCAGCCACATTTCAATTGAAAAGGAAAACACAGCAGACCCTCAGCCACTTCCTGCTATGTAGTCAGTTGCATTTGAAGTAGTCCTTTGTTTTTGAGGCAGAAAACATAATGGAATGCCCCGTCTTTTGGGGTGACCCTATGCCAAACATGGACACTAGTGCGCGTGCCGCTCTTTTGCCCCGTGAGAAGCTGCCTAACTTTGTCACCTGTATCAGATCACACAGTGGTCAGAACCTTGTGCGCAAAACAAGCTGTGAACCAACTGGTACTGAAGTGTGAATGACCAGTATTTTCCAAATTCCAAAAGTGTCTGACAGATGGAGAGACGAGTGGATGGGACACACATGAGACAAATGGCTTGAAAAATTTGACGAAGCTGAAGTTGGCCTCCTATTCAAAACTCCCGTTCCACCTTAAATGGTGCAGCAGATACATATAGGTGCCTGTACAGGTGCCAGAATGTAACTGTTGCTTATTTAAGGTGAATATGAAAATTAAAAAAAAAAAGCTGCTGAATAAGAAGCCAACTTTAGCCTTGTAGAAATTCAGACATTTTTACAGACTAGCACTGTTTTACCAGGCCTGCAGTGCTGGTGTTAGAAAGCAATATTCATGTAGTTTTATCTACACATTGTTCAGTTTTATTTCAATTGTTTTGCACAATAAAATGTTTTAGATTTACATTCGGATTACTACTTGTGTAAAAATGTTCTTATTAAAAAGTGAAGGGACATCCCAGAATAATAAGCTCATGTTAACATACAAAAATAGGTTTAAGCATCTGAAATATATCCATACCATCATAAATTTCATTTTATTATATTGGCCATACCACCCACTAATAATTTTTGCTTTACCTGTCTCCTTTCCACTTTTTAAAGTAGACAGTTTCTGTCCTTGTAGGATAGTCCAACAGCAGGATTAGAAGAACCAAAAGTTGATCAGTGAGCAACAGTGAACAACAAGGCCCTCTTCAAAGCAATCAGTCTGGATTTTGCAATGCAGATAACCAAATAATGAAGATAAGGAACAAAATCAATCCTCAATTTGAGAGCTGACATCTGAACCCTGTTTATTTATGATGAAACTCAGGGTCAAAGGCTAAAGTAAGAGCTAAATCTATAGGCCACTATAAAGAAAAGATCAGTGCAAATGGAAGTATCTCTAGCTGTTCAACCTTGTTACTCACAATCACACAGAGTACTCTAACCGGTCATCTGAGGCCATGCTGTGTAGTTATATAAAACAGCAGGCTTTGCAAAACATAAGTTAGCATTTCGCTTTTCTTGCTTTTGTCCACATTATTGAAAAAATTCAAAACAGTTTGACCTCTTCATTATTTGAAAGTTCAACTAATTTTGGCAGCTTCTAAAGCTCTGAGATGAATCATTACATTATGAATTGTCTCAAAACTGTGCTCTCAACACCCTTAATACTATGAGACAAAGTGTTTCATTGAGTTTCTGGCAGAGTTCTAGACTTACTGTACTAATGGACTGTACTCTCTCTCATTAGTACAGTACAACCAAGATACTGGAGTCACACCAGTGTGTTCTCTGCTGTTTTTTCCCAAGAGTTTGGTTTCTTGGTGTTAGTGATAAGCCTTTATTACAGCACAGCTGCTTTAGAGTTAGAGATAAAGATCCATGGTTGTAATGTACTGTATATGGATATGAGTGAACAGCCTGGTCCGCTGTAAATGTTTGCTCCTAGAGAACATCTTGCTATCTCTGTTCAGTGGTCTTGTGAAGCTGAAGGCCAAACAGTCGTCTTGGAAACGCTGTGATACACTTAGTGTTGGGTGATTTACTCACTGCTTAAAAGAAGATTTTCTTGCATTTGTGTTCTCATTTCTTCAAGAAGTGTATATCCTTGGTCACGTGGCATCTTTCACTGCAAGTTGACGACCTAACTGATGTCGTCTATCATTACGCTTAGCTTAACTCGGCCTCCAAAAATACCAGGCATCCTGAAGATGAGGTCATAATGTTTTGCTGGAGATGTACTGAGTATATGATTACGGGCTTTTGTCACCATCATGAATTCGCTATTTGTCAGCACAGTGTCAAGGCACATTGACATGTTTTTGAAATTGGCCACTGAAAGCCAGGCTTGAGCCTTCAGCATAGCAACATGAATGCGTCTTTCGTTCCAGCTGAGTGTGGAGGAAAGTTTTTATTTTGGATGGAAAGGGAAGAAACATGGCTGAGTTCAGTGGACAGAAATACACACACATGCTCACCCCAAAAGAGGAGACAGAGAACTATCCTCAAATAGACTTTCCATTCAACCAGAAGCCTTTTCTTAATCTATAGTATAAGGAGCCAAAAAAAGTGAAAAAAAGAATGAATAATAAAACAATTTACTAGGAAGAGTACAATGTACAGGCCAGTGGTTTAATGTATGACTAAGTGAGGGCAGGTCCAGCAGTACAGATAAACTGGTTTTTATAGCTGTCTAAGTCTGGAACTGCCTGCCTGCCTCAGATTGACACTTAGCCAGAAAGTCCATGAAACATTTTGGCTTATAGTGCTTAAACCACTGAGAGCTCAGTTTTAGAGAATTTTTTAGAACGATTAATGTCAGAGTTTTGGACCATTATTAGTTTGCCTAAACTATGCATTCATGTGGAATAAACTAATTGTCTCTTTAGTTTTTGTGACTCCAGGTGTCATATTTACCAGACTTGGTTTAGCAAACCTCACCTTTCTTTTTGTGTGTGTGTGTGTGTGTCTCAGTTGAATATCAGTGTAAGTTGTATTTTAAGTGGGTAAACTGGTAGAATGAAGAATAAAACCTCCCAAGTTACTTTGTATGGCCAAAAGGTGGCACTGTTGAGTTTCCCAAGAAATGGTTTTGCACCATACCGTCGTAAAACATCCTCACTGCTTTGTCAAAAGCAGCCTTTTGTATTTTTTTTTCCTTCTAAGACACTTGTTTTGACCAAAACTAGGGGTCTGATGCGGAACACATTGCGTTTCCTCTGGTTATGTTTCTTGCAGACCACGCACACAATCCAAGTGAATTTATTTTATATAAAAGTGGAGTGTTTTTCAGTGTATAATGCGAGTATAACTCAGTAGTACTCAACATGTTGTGACACGCTGCCTCTGATCACTTACCAGTGCTTTGGTAGCCAACATAGCTGCAAAAAGTTCTCGTTCATTTAAGTTTGCATGTGTTTAAGACTGAAATAAGATGCTGAGGTGCTGTTTGGAGGCGTTGTGCAATGAAAGGAACAGCTTTTCAGCGTAACGTTGCGGTCTGCTTAGAAAGAAACGAGCGTTTCTTGAATGGAAATGGTGGCTGTGAGGGAGAGAGTGAGTGAGAGAGAAGAGAAAAAGTTCACGTTTAACAAGACTGGAGAGCTTTAAAGAAGAGAATGAGAGAGAAAAGTGATACGTTTCACATGCAGTGTGAAAGAGTTAAGGAGTTGGAGTCCAGCTGACAGTCAGCTGATAGCCTCTGACAGACGAGAGAAAGAGAGCGAGAGAGGGGAAGAAAAAAAGTTTTGTTTCTCTACTAATATGTTAATTAGCTCTCGGACCGAGCGCTCCGATTGGCTGGAGCCCCGAGTCAATTTTACAGTTCGGCTCTGACGTCACGGCAGCTATAAAACTCAGCAATGCTTTTAAACTCAATCTGCCTTGTGTGTGTGTATGTGTGTGTTCACTTTTTTAAAAATCACTCCTACGAGCCTGGGCAGATTCACGTCCAAGTCGACGCTATCAGCCTATTATTACTATTATTCCTACTTTTATTTATTTATTTTTTAAACATTTTTTTCCTCCGCGTCCTTTCTTCACTCCTAACGTTTCTCCGAGCGCCGCTGCACCATGTATTCGTGAAGAGAGCGTAAAGTGTGAAATGTTTTGAAAGAGAAAGTTTTTTTTTTCTTCTTCTTCTCTCTCCTTCGCGTGAAGAGAGGAGGGGAAAGAAAAAAGAAGGAGAAGAAGCGATCAGAAAGAGCTCCGATGCATCTCCGACGAGAGTGTGCAAAGGAAAAGTGCTCATTTGGAAGTAGGAGTTGCTTCGTCGAAGCGCTGCAGAGACTTTTCTGGTAAGAGTGAAAAATCAGTTCTTTTTTGTTGTTGAAGAAGAAGAAAAAAAAGCATCAAGCTGGCTCACTCTCTTCTAAGTCAACCCGGTCTGCCAGGTGCTCTTCACCCTCTTTGGAGGACTGTCAACAGCAAGAGGATGGCATCAGAGCTGGCGATGAGCAGCTCCGACCTGCCCACCAGTCCCCTGGCCATGGAATATGTTAATGACTTCGATCTGATGAAGTTTGAGGTGAAAAAGGAGCCGGTGGAGCCCGAGCGCGGCAGCTTGAGCCACCAGTGCAGCCGCCTGCTCGCCGGGGGCTCCGTGTCTTCCACGCCGATGAGCACGCCGTGCAGCTCGGTGCCGCCTTCGCCGAGCTTCTCGGCGCCCAGCCCGGGCTCCGGGAGCGAGCACAAGAGCCACCTGGAGGATTTCTACTGGATGACGGGCTACCAGCAGCAACAGCAGCAGCAACCGCACCACCAGCCGCAGCCGCAGCAGCTGAACCCCGAGGCGCTGGGCTTCAGCCCCGAGGACGCCGTGGAGGCGCTGATCAGCAGCACGCACCAGCTCCAGCCCTTCGACGGCTATGCTAGGGGGCAGCAGTTCGCCAGCGCGGCCGGCCCCGGAGGCGCCGTGGCCGGGGACGACATGGGCTCGGCCGCCGCCGTGGTTTCGGCAGTGATCGCCGCCGCCGCGGCGCAAAACGGCGCTCCGCACCACCACCAACACCACCATCACCACCACCCGCACGCCAACAGCGCCGCCGCCAGCGCCGTAGGGCACCACCACCAGGCACCCTTGGGCGCCGGGCACGCGGCGGCCGAGCGCTTCTCGGACGAGCAGCTCGTCACCATGTCCGTGCGCGAGCTGAACCGGCAGCTGCGCGGCGTCAGCAAGGAGGAGGTGATCCGGCTGAAGCAGAAGCGGCGCACGCTGAAGAACCGCGGCTACGCGCAGTCGTGCCGCTTCAAGCGCGTGCAGCAGCGGCACGTGCTGGAGGGCGAGAAGACGCAGCTGCTGCAGCAGGTGGAGCACCTCAAGCAGGAGATCGCGCGCCTGCTGCGCGAGCGTGATGCATACAAGGAGAAGTACGAGAAGCTGGTGGGCGGCGGCGGCGGCGGCGGGGGCTTCAGGGAGAGCGGCGGCTCGAGCAGCGACAACAACCCCTCCTCCCCCGAGTTTTTCATGTGAGTTCTGCACCTAGTCGTAAGAATAAGCGAGAAAGAAAACAAACAAAAAAGTTTGTTTGTGATTTTTTGGCGGGTTTGTTAGACTGAGAGAGAGAAAAAGACAAAACTTTAAATTCTTCGTAAAAGTCTGTTTTTGTTTTGTCTGCATTCTGGTCAGTCAGGCCTGGCAGTCTGTCTTGTTTTTTGAGCTTTACTTTTTTTTTCTCTTCCTTTTTTTGCGCGTAGACAGACAAAACTTTACAATATATAAATATTTTTTCCCTTCCAAACCTGCCATCCTCGTGCGTTTTCTCCACACTTACGTTCAAATGCACAAGTCTGCAATGCATTCATATTTTTTCTTTTAATTTTTCTCATTTTTTTTTCCATTGTTCGCCTGACTTGCAGTGTTTTTTTAATGGGATTGCTGTTTGTAATTTACTCCCCCCCTTTTTTTGTTTTGTCAATGTGCGTTTGCATGCATCCACATGCACCACTGATGTTCATCGACCTTTTGCATCAATTTTTGTTCTTCTTTTTTTATTTACAATCAGAATAACTGTTTGCCAAAAACAGCGACACTTACCTCCAGTTTAAAAGTTTTTGGCACTTTTTTCTTCTTTCTTTTTGCCAAAGTGAGAGGACCTGCAGTTTCCCCATGATCATCTCATGAGTCCTGCTTGCTGTTTTGTGTTTAACAAAAAGACTTTACTTAAGAACTTAAAGACATTGCTTAAAAAAGAGAAAAAAGAGACAATATGTTATTATTACCTGCATGCTGGACATGTATGGTTTTCTTTCTGTTGTTTTTTGCTTGAAAACTGAACTTTGTACTTGGATAACTCCAGCATGGCATTCATCCTCTTCCTTTCATTTGCCAGCTCACTTTTTTGGAATATATGCAAAAAAGTGAAAGAGCATCCCACCAACCATCACCCCTCCCTGAAAAACAAATAAAACTTCTCCGAGCCGTGCTGACCTGCACCACGGCCCATTCCCATTCAGTCCATGCACTGAGGCATTCCTGCTGAAAGTTGGCCAACTGGAAGCAATGTTTCAGGGGACAAGGACCTCATCCTTACTAAAGAGGAACTCCCTCTGCGGGACTAAAACTCTTAGTTGCTTTAAAGCGGATTTGTTTGTTCAACTCCAATCTCGTTCTTATGCATTTTGATAACTCTGTAATAAAGCAACCTTGTGTTTTTTTTAAGCATAATCTAAGAATAGTTCTGTTATCTGTGAGCCTAAAGGTGTAAGCTATTCTCCAGGTTGTTGATGATGATGATGATGATGACGATGACAAAGATGATGGTGATGATGAGGAAGATGCCATTAAAAAGATATGCTTTAGATGTTAGGGTTCATGTCCTATGCACTAAATTGTTTCCTGATTATAGTGTTAAAGTGTACTGGAAGGACCCAAAGCAAAACCTGTATTATACAGCAGGAGTGTTAGGATGTGGACTGCAAGCTTTTTTGCAGCATGTGCTTGCCATGAACACAGCAGTTTGACAGATGTAGCCCCTCTTATAGCCTACCACTGACTGTATTTTGTCGAAACCAAAGTATTAAAGCAAAAGAACTTAGTCGAGGTGGAAAACATTGGTGCATTTTGAAATGCATTCTCCTTTTACGGATCTAAACTATTTGGACTGAGTTGCACTAAAATGTAGCCTGTAGCTAATCATACAGTATATCACACAATGGAATCTATCTAGAACGCTAATTTAAAAGACATATCTTATGGCATTGCTGGAGAATTTATGAATGCAATCTTATTAGTTACATTGTCAAGCAGGACTAGTTTCTTTTGTTGTAAACGAATTCATTATTTACAAGGCAATAATATAATAATCAATAATGTCTGGACATTGTTTTATAGTCAGGGATTGAAACCCTGCTTGTATAAAATGGGGATATACCATTCATCAATAAATTTTTTAAGTATGTTAATTAAAATTTTCTCATATATATTTTGCTGTGCAAAATTATTTCACTCACTAACCGTATGTGATGTTCATATGTGCTTATTTTTCATTTCATACAGTTATATATGATATGCAATAAAAATGCAATTCGGGCTTCATAAAGTCTGTGTCCTCTGGATATTAATTGATAAAAAGCTAACTTTGTGCAAAGTGGTCAGCATAGAGAAATGTAAAGTCCTGTAACCTTTTCCCAATCTGATGGTTAAATTCTTTTTGCTGTTGATAACAAAAGTGGGTCATTGCATTCTATTCATAAAGTGCGGATTCATCACTGAGTCCAGTGCAGCTGATGCAGCCTTTCGAATCAAAGGCACTGACAAGTAATTTAGGCCTGAAAATCTGATCAAATTAAAAATAATCTGGAAGAACATTTTGTTCTACCAAAAAGGCAGGCTAATCAGGACTAGTATGATAAAAAAATGACAGCGCTTCTCCAGGTTGCGCTGTCCGTCAGTACCTCTGCCCGGCTGCTTTGCTGGACGTTCTCGCCTGCAGCGAACACATAATGTTTTGTTAAAAGTCATAAGCTGATAGGTTTTAGGAGCATTATGGAAGTCAACAAACTGTAATTATATTGTAATAAGCTTTTTCTTGAACATGACCGATTTTCACTGTCTGTTTTTGAGCGCACAGTGGTGCATTAGAGATGAGTTAGTTTTAGCGTGTGCGTAGATATAGTCGTACGGGCTAGTTTCATGTTTAGTCACTGCAGTTTTTCTCTTATGTCCTTTTTTTTGAGTATTTTCATATGCCTGAAATTGTAATTGTTTCACTGATTACAATTTAAACAAAACATTTTATGTCTGACCCTCAGTACAGATTAGATCAGTTATACTTGAATTTGAGCAGTAACCACAGTGCTGCATAATAATTCTGCACACCAGAATTATATCATAAGGGTCATCTCTGTATCGTCCCACAGCTCCAGGCCTAGAATCCATTCAGCAGCTTTGCAGGCCCCACAGTGTAGATAACACCTTTTTTTTCTAGAGTAGATTCTCTAATATTCTCTCTACTCTGGGCTTAAATGCTCATGAATGAGCATGCATGTTTCATTCCAAACGACCAGCGGGTCTCTGTGTGCATGTGTGTGAGTGTGTATCTGCGTATGTATGCGCTGCAGTGTGTGTGTGTAGTTGTGGGAATGGTGTATGATATGGATATGTATGTGGATATGCTTATTCTTCTGTACGGTTAGTCCTTCTGTCGTTGGTTCGTGTTTTCTCCATGGTGCTGATCACAGCCCTCATATGCGCTCCATTAGAGCACAGCAGGCCCAATAACTGATCAATTAGAGCCTGAGAAATCACACAGTAGGAGTGTGCACAGCAGCGCACAGCTGAATTTGTGTTTGGTAGTTTGATTTTTTTATGCTTTTTTGACATTTTAGTAACTGTACTCACAGTACTAAAATACACATACATTATGGTGCATAAGTCAGAGACCACCGTTCATCACAGGAATGGAGCTTGATTTTCTCCTGTCTCTCACAGATGAAAGCTTTAAGTACTGTTTATCTGATGGTGGTAGTTTTGGTAGTCTGCCAGGCCTTGCATGGTTGTTAAAGATTCTGTATCTTTTAACTTTCTGAACTCTAGTTTTGGAAACTACTGCTTTTTTTCACATTTCCGTTTGACTTTCACCTTCCTTATGCAAGTGGCCTGTCTTGTTACTAATCTCCTCAGAATTGAATAACTTGTACTTAATACTAGTTTAAACTGGTAATTTAATAAATGAGTAGTTGTCTCTGACTTTTGCACAGTTCTATACACAAAACGTGACACATTTTGAGGTACTCCAGTACAGATCAACGTGTAGTGCTACAAAATCAGCCCTTCACGAGTCTTTTTTTCTTGCTGATCTGTGAAGTAAAGTCCTTCTCTAGCTGCAAAAGAATCCCTGCACCATGTGCCTCTCATCCCGCCTGGCGGGGCGGAGGGAGAGACTGAAACAATGGCTTTGAGAGTTAAAATGATTTTCCCGATGATTAATCGCTGAGAAATGGGCCGGTTTGTGCAATGCAAAAATGATAAATCACGATTCTGTTTGGCCACAGCTGTGCCAGGGCTGGGCTGATAGCATGCATGCAGAAAAATGCAATTTATGACAAACTAACTAACTCTCATTCTCTCTCCCTCATCCTCTCTCGCTCTCTCATTCTCTCTCCCTGTCTCTCTTCCTGCATTCTCTCTCTCTCTCTCTCTCTCTCTCTCTCTCTCTCTCTCTCTCTCTCACGCTTTTGCAAATGAAACCACTCAATTCATCTGTTTCGTCTGCATGAAGAAGTGAACCCAGACTTTTCCACTCTCCGTATCCATGTAGGTGAACTGTGGAGTTGTGATTTTCATTGATCTGATTTGAAACATCTCGGTATGAGGCAGCTGTAGTGAATCATGTTAAAGCGTTTTGGCTGTGATGATGCAGTGCTGCTGAAAGTGCATGTTTGACCTTTAGCTCTTACGGTTATCACAGCTTTGCACTTCAATGGATCATTTAAGGCTTTAGATGCTGCTTTGATTTGTTGTTGTTAAATGTAATTTTTGAACATGTGAGACGTGTTAGTAGTGTTTCTGAATTAACCAGTCATAGAACAAATGACCTTGCCCTCAGATATCACCATATAGGAGAATCGGCTGGGTACGGAGCATTTGTATCAAAACAAGGTTTACACAGATTTTCCTACTAATTTATTTATTCATTTATTTATTATTTATTTATTTATTTTTTGGTTATGGCCCACACAAGGTTAGACATTGCCATTTATGGTCACTTGCCTTTTCCCCTTTTAAAAAAAACACCAGACCAGTTGAATTTCACAAATATCCACCATTAATAACTTTTCACCCTCCTATGCAAAATCCAGAGTCTGTTTGATAGGACAACAAATTAACTGCATCAAAATAGATTTTACTATAATTTCTCAGCTGTGGCTCCCACAGTAAATCCTTTCTCAAAACATCATGACTTTTTTATTTCATTTTTGGTATTAAAGCATATTTGTTAATTGTAAATGCACTGCATATATGATACACATTTCTATGCATTCCACAAATTTTTGCTGTAAGATTCATTGGCTTGGTGAATTTTTATATCTGTCTACTCCTGGTCCACACTCTAGGCCTTGTTAATGTGGGAGCTGGACATAGTGACCCTTCTAGAGGACCCTAAAGGCAAACAGGACTGTACATACATGCTTGCGTGCAGGCATATTTACGTGATAAGAGCATTTGGCTGTGTTTGCTTTTCTGTGTGAGTGAGTGTATGTGAGTGTGTGTATGTGTGTGAGAGAGAAAGAGAGGGAGAGGGTGGGCCTTGTGTATGTGTGCACAAGTCTGCATTATTTGTGTCTGTCTCTGAGAATGAATACTTGTGGTTTGTCTGGGAGTGTGTGTGTCTGTGTATGTGTCTGTGTGTGTGTGTCTGTGTATGTGTCTGTGTGTGTGTGTCTGTGTGTGTGTCTGGGTTTTTGTGTGTGATTTTCAGAGGATGCACGGAGGTCAGTGAAGGAGCAGGAGGAGCGCTCTCAGAGTCATTACACTGATCCATTCCCTCCAGGGAGCCCACGTTCATTTCCTGCACCAATCCTAAAGACGCACACACATACACAGAGA